CACGTATAAGATATTCAAGTATTTTAGTCAAAAGCAAAAATATCCTGGTTGACTTTTGTAAGTCAAGTCTATAAAAATATGTGTAGTACTTTAATTTTTTTTTATACACTGAATAAAAAATATTAGGAGATATAAAAATTGGTAAAATAGTAAAGGAAAAGTAACAACAAATCAGCACAATTTTAATAGACTGCCATTACCCTTAACTATATCATCACTTCATAGAATAATTTCGTATTTGAATCGAAACTTTGAACGATTGCTGCATGTGCTAAACCACGGACCTACTGATAATTGTTATTACGATAGTTATAAGATTCTTAATCTTCGGCACATGATATACTTAAAAGTTCATGATTAAAAAACGTTCATGATTAATCTTATTCATATAGTGGTGGATCAAACATAAATGATTCATCCCAGATGTAGAACCTACTTTCCGAATTTGTACATATGGTAATGGTGGCAGTAAAACATCGCTTCTCTGCTAACCATTCTTTCTTTTCTTTACTTGGATTATTGATATGAAAAGAAAGAAACTACGACACAACCACATCGGATCGCTAGGTTTGTAATGTTTTTTTTTTTTGTATTATATCAAATTATTTCTGCATTTATTTCCGGAAAATCTTTATCAAAAAGGGCCACAAAGTACATGTGATAGCGGTATAGTTATAAGGTTATTGTGGACAGGAAGCATGCACATGGTATGTAATTACGAAGATACCAACCGTATCTTACTAAGCCCTGATAGCCCATTGTAGACCCAAACTTGACTGATATCCCCTATATATTAATTGAGAAACATTTGAAAAGATGTAACCTCAAGTTTGTATTAATTAAAAAGTAACCTTGCTTAGTTGTCAATCAATTAGCATATCAATTAAACTGACGTGGCGGCTTTAGATTCAACTGAAATTTGCTAGGGAAAAATAATTAGAGAAGCATATAACGCATGTAACATAGTTTATATATTTATATATATCGCACGCATGTAATGGAAGAAAAGGAAAATATACGATTTGATAACGATTTGCATATATTAACTATAATAACTTCATTCCTTTTAATTTATGGAAGTGTATATGTAAAATGGAAAATACTTAAATTAAA